GGGGAATTTGCCAATGTGATATCACTGTCTTCCTTTTAAGCAAACAAACAAACAAACAAACAAAAAGGCAATGGCTGTTGAAAATAGCAATTCCAGTCCTAATAACAACTGGGAAGCATTTCTTGCTCAATTTTATCCTACTTTTTCTGCAGCAAGTTACAGTGGATCAGTATATTTGATTTGGGAGAAATGAAGTAACAGCTGCCCAAACTGAGCTTGAGCACTCCTGAATTTTGAGGTGTTCAAATCTGGAAGGCAGGTGCTGGGGGGTGGGTGGGGGGTGGGGCGCTGTGGCTCCGCAGGGGAGCACGGCAGCATGTATGCAGCAGCGTGTCTGGCGCTGCGTGAAGCCAGACACGCTGGTCTGAGTGGCACGGTAAGGGGGCTGGGGGGTTGGATGGGGCGGAGGTTCGGGGGGGGCAGTCAGGGGCAGGGAGAAGGGGGGCTTAGATGGGTCAGGGGTTTCGGGGGGTAGTCAGGGGACAGGCAGCGGTTGGATAGACATGGGAGTCCCAGGGGTTTGTCAGGGGACAGGTAGGGGGTGGGGTGCTAGGGGGGAAGTTGGAGGGGGTCTCAGGAGGGGACAGTTGGGGACAAGGAGAAGGGAGGCTTAGATAGGGGGTGGGGTCCTGGGGGGCAGTTGGGGCAGGGGTCCGGGGAGGGGGTGATCAGGGAGCAGGGGGGTTGGATGGGTTGGGGTTTCTGTGGGGGGCAGTCGGAGGGAGTGGATGGGGGCAGGGTGGGGCTACCCTCCCTCCCCGTGGAGTGTCCTATTTTTTGAATGTTAAAATATGGAATCCCTACTCACAGTGCAGCTCTCCATTCACAGCAGCATGAGGTCTCAGCTTCCTCACTCCCTCCCCCTCTTTCCTGTTGGTAATGGCCAAGTGAATGCTGGGAAATGTAGTTCTTTCCCTGCTCCAAGGCTGGCTCTATAGGCAGGGAGCTAACCAAGGAACTACAGCTCCCAGGGCCCCCTATTGGTTCTCAGCTCCCATGCTGGATCCCTGCCGCCCCTGCAAATGGGCTGCCCCAAGTACGTGCTTGCTTTGCTGGTGCCTAGAGTCGCCCCTGTCTCCTACAGCACATCAGCATCTTGTATGAGGAGAAATCACACACGTGATACTGGCATGAATCAGAACTGATTTCTCAGCAAATGCCATGTGGCAGAGCAAATCCTTAATGTGAGATAATGAGTTACACCTAACTGATGCTAATCATTCATCTTCATCACATTGACAAACAGACCCTTCTCTTGATGACACAGTCAGTCCTGTAGCAGAAGGAGCCATGCCTTTGAACTTTGAAGGGAAAATTCACTGACAGCATGTACAGTGGAAACCCTCAGTAGCAGAAGGTAAGTTATGTCTAATTAACCATCTGAGATGCATCTTTCACTATCAAGGGAATTGGCTAATGAACGTATCGTGCCACTGACAATTATTTTTGAAAAATCATGGACAAATGAGGAGGCACCTAAAGAATGGGGAAAAAACAAATCAACAAACAAGGAGAGAAGAGGAGTGATCTTGGTGGTTACTGTCCTGTAAGTCTAGTTGTGGAATAGCCTCCTGAACTAACGAAGGCAGCAAAGCTTTGTTTGTCTGAACTGTTTACTGATTAGGAGACCAGTATGGAGATTTCTTTGTAAATCTACTAGAAATGGACTTGTCTTTTCTCTATTTTGCTGATAGTAGCGGTGACAGATATGGCAATTTCCCGCAATGTCATTGGGAGACCCTATTGAATTGAGTTCACATATGTTTGGGGTCCATTGTATTAAAGGAAAGGTTTAGTTATTATTGTGGGCTGGGGTGGTCAAAGGACTATATCGAACAACGTGTCAGACAAGAATGGATTTATGGGACAATATGTGTGAAATGGATTTCCTGGGAAATACCTAGGGAGAGGTGAATGGAATTCCCCACCCCCTTTGCCTCTGGTTATGCAAAAAAACAAGAACAAAACCAATTCCTGCCTTTTGAAGCAACAGCTTGAGGAAAAGACCTTTGCCTGCTGATTACCTGTTCCGGGAGGCTGAAGATCAAAGGCCTAACCGGTATAAAGGAAAGACTAACTGATTCATGGGTGGGCTTGTTCTGAGACAAGGCTGTTATGAACTTGTAACCACAGAAAAAACATTCATTGGGGTTTGAAGGACTGACTCCTGCCAGAGCCCTTGTTGGAGTTGGGAGATCTCTGGTAAGCTTATTAATGTGCAGGTAGGTTCTTCTATTATTTTTAATATGTTTTTTGTCATCAAGATAGGTGATGGCTGGGAGCTGGAAGCCTGACTAGAAAAGGTTCAGAGAAGGGCAACAGACATGATTAAGGTTATGGCTTCCATATGAGGAGAGACTAAAAACATTAGGGCTGTTCATCTTAGAAAAGAAATGATCAAGGGTGGATATAATAGAGGTCAATAAAATAATGAATGGTTTGGAAAACAGTTAATAGAGAAGTGTTATTTACCCTTTCCCACAATACTAAAACTCGGGGTCACCTCATGAAATTAATAGGCAGCAGGTTTAATGCAAACAAGAGGAATTACTTTTTCCACACAACAGATAGTCAACCTGTGGTACTGATTGCCACAGGATGTTGTGATGGCCAAAAGTATAACTGGTTTCAAAAAAGGATTGGAGAAGTTCATGGAGGTTAGGTTTATCCATGGCTATTAGCCAAGATGGTCAGGGATGTATCCCCATGCTTGGGGTGACCCTAAACCTCTAACTACTAGAAGTCAGGAGGGGAAGGCTCTCCAAATTGCCCTGATCTGTGCATCCCGCTGAAGCTGTTGTATCTGCTTCTGTCAGAGACAGCATGCTGGGCTAGAAGCATCACTGATCTCACACAGTATGGCTGTTCTTATGTTTTTAATGTGTTCACCTTACGAATAAAAGTGCTTGCTTAAAAAGAGCTGTGTGGTGACTTGTAACTGGCAGCAATTGTACAACTCTTCATAACCTCTGAAGAGAAAGCAAAGTGCAGACAGTGGCCTTTTTAGGCAGTCTGGCTTGCTGAGCATATCACAATGTAGGCAGGGAACCATGCAGTCTGGAAAAAACCCAGGCAGGAGTGAGTGAGACTTATCTCTGGCCAAGAGAGGGGATGGGTGGATGCCTGAGCATGGGAGCCCATGGAGGAGGAATACAGGTGCAGTTGCCCTGATCTGTAACAGTAACTCTACTGCCTTCTTAAAGAGAGCATTTTGGACACTATCAGATTTATATTAAACATGAGTACTTTTGCTTTGAGGCTATTGCTCCCATTCTGCAATGTCAAGTCTGCATACCAGACAGCGTTGATTAATGTTGGGGTGCTTGTTCTTTCATGTTGCTGATTAAGCTTTCTCAAGGTCTAGCTGCCCCCCCTCCCCATCATTCCCACCAGGGCCTTCCCTATCCTTGTTGGACGTGCCTATCTCCCTTTATCCATTCCCTGAGGTATCGTACTGCATCCTCCAATCCTTTCAAGTGATGAGAATTTGATAGGACTTTCTCTGGTGTGCCAACATTGCAATGTTAGGCATCCCTAGGCACGCTAGAGGGGTTGCAGGAAGGCTGCCCTACAGCAGGAATCCCCAGGAAGACTTCTGGCTGATTTCTACACCACATTATCTAGCTAGTAAGGCTCCAGGCTTCTAATTACCAAAGTTTCATGAAGCAATGAGAGCTGCAGTACGTGACCTCCAGTACTTTAAATGCGATCCACCAACGTTCTTGAAAACCTACTGACAATGAGCCAGATCCTCTGTTGGTATAAATAGGCTTAGCTCCTTTGACGTTAATGGAGCTGTGCAGATTTACACCAGATGAGGATCTGACCCAGTGCAGTCTGAGTGCCCGAGACGAGTAATTCATGTAAGTAAGCAACTCAAGTGGATTCGTTAATGGAGATGTCATACGTGGTTTCCTAGGAATTACATTGCCATTTAACAGTAATTAATATCCATTAAAAGACATTATTATAAGCTCAACAGGCAAATTGCTATAATTTAATTAAATCTCTGCAGCTTTTCAGATGACAAATTGTCACTGATCACTCCTTACTTTTGCTCCATCAAGCAATGTATTCTAATGAGTATTCATTCATTTGAATGTTATCATTTTTCATTTGACATTGTTCTACGTTACTTTTGTAAAATGTTTTATTTCCTTACATGCCATGTTACAGCTAATGACCTGGTGGGCTGCAAGTTTTGCATCTCAGCGTGATTCATCTTCACTTTACTAGTTGCCCATTTTTAAAAAGAGCTAAATGACAAATAGCTACCCACTCCCTCCATTTACCTTTCGTGTGTCACTTGATTTTTGCATAAGGCTACAATAATAATACCTTGGAGTTTTTCCTAAAAAGTAACCTGCAGGGCCTGAAATTATACCTGCATTTGGATTCTTACACAAAAACCAAACAGATTTGCTAAATACAGAAACTTTTAGGTACTGAGTAAGGGGCTGATAATATGGGAATTGAAGTCAATGGGAATTTTGTAACTCACTACAATGGGAGTAAGATCAGGCCCTAAATAAGAAAGCACCCTTCTTCATCTTATAAACACAAAATAAAAGCCATATAACAACACAAGGCCTATATATAGCAATGTATTATTATCAGTCTGTGTATAGGTCAAAAGTAGCATATAGCCCTAACTCTTTAAATTATATTTACAGGGCCAAGTATTGCTCTGTTATATTGGTGCAAATACAGAATAATTCCACTGACTTCATTGCATTTTGGACAAACTAGTAAATCCATTACCAATAAGTAATGAATAATGGGAAAATGTATTTACAGACATATTCATGGAATCAGATATCTGACTTGATTCAGTCATATTTCTGCCCCTTTTAGTTCATTTTCTCATGAAGATTTGGACAACTGATTTCTATGTAGATTAATCTTTTGGAGGTGTTGTTATTCATATGAATTCATATTTACTATACACCTGAATGCAAAAATAATATGTGTGTAAGCAAGTGCTTTTGTTATTTGCTAGTCCATTTAGGGTGACCAGAAAGGAGGTGTGAAAAATCAGGACAGGGGATGGGAGGCAATAGGTGCCTCTATAAGAAAAGGCCCTGAATATCAGGATTGTCCCTATAAAATTTATTAAGAAACTGTCTACACTGTGAGGGGGGAAAAAAGAGAATCCCTAAGGAGATATACCATCATTCACTCTTCAGTGTTCATCATTCATTATTCTCCTGTTTAAAAGTTCATCATCCAGTCATGCAGAGGCGGCTCTATGTGTTTTGCCGCCCCAAGCACAGCAGTCAGGCGGCTTTTAGCGGCGTGCCTGCGGGCAGTCCGCTGGTCACGCCGATTCGGCGGCGTTTCTGCGGGAGGTCTGCCAGTCTCGCAGCTTTGGCGTACCTGCCGCCGAATTGCTACTGAATCCGCGGGACTGGCGGACCTCCCGCAGGCATGCCACCGAAGGCCGCCTGACTGCTGCCCTCACAGGGATCGGCAGGCCGCTTTCTGCAGCTTGCTGCCCGAGGCACGCACTTGCTGCTCTGGTGCCTGGAGCCGCTCCTGCAGTCATGGATCAGAAACACCACCATGTGATTAGGTGACCAACCACACATTAATAATTATCAGTAGTTACAATTCACAGGAAAACCACAGGCTGCAAGTTGTTCCGATAAATAATTTGACAAACAATTACAAATAATAACAAATGCAGAAAGAACAGGAGTACTTGTGGCACCTTAGAGACTAACAAATTTATTAGAGCATAACAAATGCAGGACATTTTTCAGGTAGCTCATTAAGAGACAAAATTAATCAAATAATTACTCACTAGAAATGATTCACCAAGATCGACTAGTAAAAATAATAACTTGTATTTCTGAGTTTCTAGATATAATCTAACATCCATTAAACACTTTCATCTTTTAGTTTTATTACCGATTCCCTTCTTCATACTGTACCTTGGCTAGATGTTCTCCTAGTCCACGAGGGACTTCTCGTTCTTTTTCATTGTCGGTTTTGTTACCCAGCAAAAGGACAGGTATATTCTCTCCAGTTGCCTCCTGCAGAGCAAAGAACACAACACCATACTGCACACAATATGTCAACATCATTAAAATATTTAAAAAAATGATTACAGATGAAGCAGAGCCGAGGCCCACCAGGTGCCAACATGAAAATGAAAATACTGAAGACGAATCAGACAAGTAAAGTGTTATTTTATGAAGAACTATATCAGGCAACAGAATTGGACAAAAGGAATAAAGGAGACATTCTGTACTAGAAATGCATTACCATCCTTGACATTCCTTGAATAACAGAACAGCTCAGAAATCTTTCAAACGTAAACAAATTAAAAAAAAAAAAGAAAGAAAAAGAAAAGAAATACTGTGCTACATAAAACCACACCATGTGATTTAGGTGACCAATATGTTTGGCCTGCCTGTGGATACAAGACGAAAAGCTTTAAAGACATAAAACCACAGGTATCTGACCCTACTTTTCCAATTAGATAGGCATGAAAACAACTGCATTTGGATCCAATCATACCAATCAAAGTACATAATGTAAATGGAGATAATATATTTGATCAAATGTAATTCTGAAAAGTGGTAATATATATTACCAAGTAAAACACTATCAGAATGAATATATTACCAAAAGTACACCAGGGATTAAGTATGCACATTGCCGGAGTTAAAGACAATGGATTTGGCCATATGTCTTGAACTCAGTGCTAGTTAACATCTCCCAAAATTAGTCAGTCAAGATGAATCAAATATGTAAAATACTGGAATTGAAAAGACGACCACGTTTCCTTATCAAAATGAAAATTCTCTTCTAAAGCTATTTTTTAAAGTGCTGAATTGTTATAAATGTTGAATTGTTCAGAAAACATGTTAAATAAGGGCCTGATCTTGTAAATACTTAATACTGGGTTTACTTCAATGGGGCTACTGACAGTGGTAAATATTTGAACAATTGGGGCCTAACAAAGCCAGATTAACACAAGGGCTTTAGGGCTGCAGTGTAGGGCCTTGGGCTAAGAGGGGCCCCGCAAAAATAAATCTCTAATTATATAAAATTCAGTGGTCACCAACCAGTCGTCGATCCTGGAGCCTCTTCCAGTCAATCGTGATCTCCGGGCCACTAAAAGTCCAGTGGCGCAGCAGGGCTCAGGCAGGCAGCCTGCATGCCATGGCCCCACGCCGCTCCTGGAAGTGGCTGGCTGCTGGCATGTCTCTATGGCCCCTGGTGGGAGGGGAAAGAGGCTCCGCGCGCTGCCCCTGCCCCCAGCACCATGCCTGCAGCTCCCATTGGACAGGAACCAACCAATGGGAGCTGCAGGAGTGGCACTTGCAGGCATGGGCAGCGCACGGAGACACGCTGTCGCTCTCCTCCCAGGGGCACGCAGAGACCTGCCAACAGCTGGCTGCTTCTGGGAGCGGCGTGAGGCTATCGCAGGCAGGCCGGCAGCCTGCCTGAGCCCTGCTGTGCCACTGACTGGGAGCCGCCTGTGGTAAGCACATCCTGGCCCGAGCCTGCACCCCAACCCCCTGCCCCAGGTCAGAATCCCCTCCTGCACCCAAACACCTGCCCAGACCCCGCACCCCTCACCCTCTCCTGCATCCCAACACTCTGCCCCAGCCTGAAGCCCCCTTCTGCACCCAAAATCCTTCCCAGAAAGAAACTAATATAACTGCTGTTCTAAGGTAAGAAGCAGGCTATTTTGAATTAACTTAACTATATTCTACATGTTTTAAGATTGAAATGTAGCCACAGAATGGCTTTATGTTAATTAAAAGGCAAGTTTAATATAGCGTTAATAGCCTTGATGCCATAATTGTGATCATTTTGTTTTAAATTAGGAAAAAGACTTGTATATGGGGCCCCACAAAATCTAATAGCCCTGGGCCCACAGGAGAGTTAATCTGGCCCTGGGGCCTAACTCCAAAGTACAGTGGCCACCTAGTGGCCAATACAGGTAACAGTGTTTCATATGTTAGCATACTGTGCTTATTGCCATAAGATCTGAATAGACAATAGCATTTTTAAGTCGCAGGAAGCTCACTGGGGCAGGTACTATGGCTGGGTGTGGGCAGGGGGAGAAAAATAAGATATTCCACAGAATTTTTTTCAGGAAGCTGAATCCTATAAAATAAACCAGTTTTACAGCACTTACTGTGGATACCGTTGATTTACATGAGCAACCTATTTAAAATCTCCTAACTTAAAGATGTAGCTGTTGCAAAACTGTCTCTTATGAATTACATCACTGCACTGAAGCATCTTTCAACTCCAATGACAATGATCAATGTGTACTGATACAGGAAGCAGAGGAGTGCATGCTGGGAATTCTTTCCCTGAGATTAAGCCAGGTACCAGGAAAGAGGGACATACATCCAATCAGTGGTGGCCACTGAAGAGATATACTCCTTGAAATTTTAGAATGACTATTGTTTTCCTATAAAATGGAAGTAGGGCTTCTGTAAAAAGCTGGCTTGGCAGCTCTGTGAACTGAAGTCCTATGTATAACAGAGTAATTGCTACAGCACAAGAAGTGGTAGGACCTTACTTCCTCCTTTTTGACCTGCCCATAACCCCCACCTGGAGGGAGCGCCTCAAGAAGTTAGAGCATGTGGCCAGAGTAGTTTAGATTGAAAGCTACGTCCTCTTACCTCAATGCTCACCAACCATTGTTTGACAGTTGTGAATGTGTCTTTTGCTGTTATATCATACATCACAATGACACCATCGGCTTTTCTGAAAAACTGCTTGGTAATACTGCGGTACCTGCAAACAAGAATCTGTTCATAGCCCTTTGCCTTAGAGCAGTAGCAATGTGACAATATGATTACAGTATAATAGCCAGAAACTGTACACCAACCCTTCAGTCCTGCAGCATTGAAGATGTATACACAGGGATCTAGACAGAACATTTGCATTCTTATAAGCTCAGTTTGGGCCACAGATATATGGGCATGAGGAGCCAAATATCTTCTTAAATCATGGCCCAGTTCTGCATCCCTTATTCGCATGTGTAATCCCTACTCACTCAAGTAGTCCTATTGAAGTCAATGGGATTACACACATGAGCTGTAACAACAGTACATCTATAGATCTTACAGTAATTTACAAAGGTGGTTAAGCTTATTACACTCATTTATAGATGCACAGTAAACGGAGGCATAGAAAGGTTTAAGTGGCAAGTCAATAGCAGAGATGGAAAAAGAGCTCACCATGTTGCCATACTAAGGTTTATTCACATAAGTAAGAGCTGAAGGACCAAAGCTTCATTTACTTAGCTTACATATGAATTTACATTCAGGGGACACATTTCTGCTCTCTGATGAGCAGAGTGGATTTTCTTCCTACTTATTTTACACATGAAACCTCCATTGTTATTGCTGACAATCCCATGTACTAGATGAGTGCAAAATTTGCAATAGAGTGCAGTGTAGATCTGAAGGGAAAATTGAACTATACTGTGAAATTGGCGAGGGAACAAATGGAGTGCCTTCTGGATTTATCAGTCCCCTTTTTATCTACTCCTAAAGAGTTCATTCTTTTTCTCCTTCAATGGCAATCCCATGTATGGAACTCACAGTGTCAATGACTAAAAGATCAAGTAAACAAAAATGTGCAGTAAAGCGTTTTGAAAAATCCTGCTGCTGACCCTTTCCCTTGTCTTTCTGTTCTTGTATTACCGATGGTAGCACGTATGCTCTGACCCATGCCTCACGTCCTCCTAACCTCACCTTGTGTGTCAGTTCAGGAATTCCTCACTCCTCTATGTGAAAAATTATTCAGGCTTCAATTGAAAAAAAAAATGAACTTTTCAATGGTCAGCAACTGAAAACTGCAATTTTTTTCCAGCCAAATTAATGTTTTTCATTTTTTTTTTGGTCTTTCAATGAAAACATGAAACATTTAAATGGAAACAGATATTTTGTGTGTGAATATTTCCATTTTGTTAAAAAGTAATTTTCTGTTGAAAAAACCTTTCTGACAGAACATTTTCAACCAGCTCCGCTCCTTAATAGTAGCTTATGGGACTATTTCTTTAAGAGTCTCTACAACAGGCTGGCAGTGTTTGCCTGAAACACCCCACCCTGTTAGCTGATATTGATCCTTCTGGGAAAGGATCAAAGGCCTGCTCTCACTTTCACTGAACTGAATGAGAATACGCCCATTTCTCCCCACTTCTGGGGAGCAGGATTGAGCCCAAGGCTGCTATTTTCTAAATGCACAGAGTAGGAGAGTAGAAAGTTAAGACATTTTCTCACCGTTCCTGCCCAGCAGTGTCCCAGAGTTGCAGGGCTATCTGGCTGTTATCCACTGTCACTGTTTTCACACTGTAATCTATACCTATAAACACAGCACAAGTTGTCTCAGGTTCATTCTGATGATCTGATCAGGTTCATGGTAGTTTAAGGTAATAGTGTCATGTTCAAACAAGCCACAAATATTTCTAACCAGTGTTCATTGGTTCAGAAGGCATGCAATAAATTCTGGCCTTTAACAACAGGCTGATAATAAGAACAGGCAGAAGCTTTTATTTGCCATAGTTTTAAAGTAATAACAAACATATTAAATGTAAATGTGTTAACAAATTAATTTAATTCATAAAAAGTCAGGATGAGTAAAATTTTCAAAAGAGCCAGAGTGATTTAGGATCCTAAGTCCCATTGACAGTCAAGGTGACTTAGGCTGCTAAGCCATATAGGCACTTTTCAAAATGTTGCCTAGTATGCTTAAATAAGTTCTCTCTAGCTTTGGTTTATACACTTCTTGGATATTTGTAATGATACTTGCTCTAACCATTAGGTTACACTGCCTCCTTCTGCAACATTCTTCTAAGATTGGCTCCTGCTAGACTGATGTCAATGGGAGTGTTGCCACTGAGTTTAATGGATCTGGTCTTAATGCCTTCAGTGAGTAATCAGAACATTCAGATGGATTGTGGAGGATGCTTCCACTATCAAAATCCAGTTTCATGGAAGTGGGTTTGAGTTGCATCTGGGTTTGTCAAGGTTTTGAATGACCAGCTGTTCTGCACAGTCTGCTCTGTCAGTCTTATCAGCAGTTCTTATGTTTATAATGTTACTTTTGGCTTATCTGTATTTGCAGGCCAGCCAAATAACCCACTTCCTGGTGTGACTCACACAGATAATGAGTGTTAGAGGTTACATTTAAAAACTTGCCATCTAAACTGCAGCCCACAACATGGGTACCTTCCTTCTGGACGCCCCAGGAAATTATGCATATAGTCTGAAGGTCTGACTTGTAAGTGCAACAGTTGCAAGCACAAGCTATGTTGGCACCAATTAAGTACCCAGCTTTGTAAATGTATCACTAACATTTTTCTCTTTTGCTCCGTACAAAGCTTTTTTCCCTGGAAAATTAGGCAATTATGATTTCAGTGATGGTCACAAATCTTATTAATCTTTTGGGATGCAGTGTAATCTAGTGCCTTAGTTACTAGATGAGAAGCAAGGAGACCCGAGGAAAAATCCTGGCTCCACTGAAATCAATGGGAGTTTTGCCAATGACTTCAATGAGCCAAGGATTTCACCACTGGGTTCTAATTTCAGTTCTGCCACTAATATGCTCTGTGACCTCAGGTAACATCACTTCTCTGTCCCTTTGCTTCTCCTCTTTGGGACAAGGACTTTCTCTCACTATGCATTTGTACAGCACCTAGCACAACAGGGCCACAGTCTTGGTTGGAGCCTCTAGGTACTACTGTCATCATCATCATCATCATAATGTTTCTTAAACTTACCTACGGTAGCAGATGTGTTTGGGGAAAAATGGCCTTCACAGAATCGCCTTAAAAACGAAGTCTTTCCCACACTTGAATTGCCCACAAAAACAATCTTGAATAAGCGATCAGGGGCAGAGTATATTCTCTCCTCCTTCAAACAAGCACAAAAGTTAGTTGACAATTTAAACTCTAACTCTGTTGCCTTTTCCAATTTGTAAAGACTTAAAGATGACCTGCAAAGGGGAAAAAAATTGAGGCTGTACCCTTCCTTCTTGGTGACTTATGAAATAACCTTACGAGTTTTTTGTCTGGTTGGTTGGGTTGGTTTTTTTTTTTTTGAAGAGTTTTGTTTGTTTTTTACCTTAATGATATTAGGAATGTCCAGTCTCGCCTCCCTTGGTTTTAGTGGAAGATTCTGTTGAGTTGTTAGCTGTGAATTGTGAGCCTTTTTGTCACATAACAGAAGGGGTGAAGTATTGAATTTTGATCAGAGTTGTATTTTTTCCCCAAGACTTTCTAGCATCTTTGAGCTCAATTTTTTAAGTCAACATAATTTTCTTTTTAGCCCAAAACAGAAAAAAATACAGCTCTCCTGCTGATTTTATAAGTCCATGACCTTCGCAATACTATCTGATTCTCAGCCAAATTTTGGGGTGCAAGCCCCATGTGAGCTGAAACAAAAAGGTTTGCATTTACCCCTGCAAGTCCAAACCAACAAGCTCTGCACAGCTCTGTTCAGAGCCGCCCCACACTAAACTTTATGCGTATCATAGACTGTGTGTCTTTACCTAGAGAACACAAGCAAATTTATAAGATGTCTTATAATTTGTATTGTCTGATTGTGCTCTCAGTTGCTACTGGTGTTGATCCAGGCGCTTCCTGATTTATACCTGGTATAAATGAGAGGAGAATCAGGCCCGGTTAATTAAGCTATTAATCTTTGGCAGGGTGAAGGTGATAACCTCTTAGCTTCTCAAGTATGAGGGAATTATCCATGTTTTGTAGATTAAACTGAGTGGGAATGCTGGAGAAGACTATTTCTGCTCTATTTTAGGTACATCATTATTCCAAAATCCCTTCCCTTGTATTTTCAGCTGCAGTGGTTTAGGGAAAAATGGAGCAGCACCAGTGAGTTTGCAGTGGGGGCCAGAACCATCCTGATGCTCTAGGATGGAGAGGCTGAAGGGGGAAGGCGAGGTGGGGAGCATGATACTAATTCTGTAGAAAAAGAGGCAGGGTGATTCCCCCTATAATGTAAAGTGAGCACGCCAACATATGCACAAGGGTGCTGGGGGCTGGCCCAGATCTTCCAGCAGGCAGCCTGCCTGGTGTTCCCTTCAATGCAAGGTAGAAATCCAGCCCACCCAATATTCTGTACTGCTATGAAGAAAATACTGAATTATCCTGGGGAAAAAATAGTTGTATTTGTACTAGAGAAAAAGCCCTCCGCTGTGTCCCTTAACTGTAAGAAATCCATTCACCGGGGTCAACATTTGGAGCAAATATCTAGCTAGCTAGCTATCTTCATGTGTTAGAATAACAGCCATTGTTATAACTGTGCAGAGATCTCTTATCGCATCGCTCCCTTATCCTTTTAGATTAAAAACTCAAACTGCATTGCATCTTTAGGCTTTTAGCAAAATGCACGCTTCTATATATGTAAGGCAATTTCTCAAATCTGCTGAAAATCACCCTGAGCCTCTATCCTATTTCCAACAGCAATCATCATGGTGTGTGTGTGTAATCTGGGTGTTGGGAAATAACATTCACACACACAGACAGCCGCCCACTCAAGCTTGGACTGGAAGGCCCTAAACTGCATCTCTATTAGGTCATAACAATAGCTCAGTTAGCCAGCATCAAAAATCTCGTCCTCAGTGGCCACACACAAATTGGCAGAGTTAACAGCCTGAGAGCACCACTGTGTCTTGGCTCAACCCACCGATTGCCCAGTCAGCCATTTCCCTATGAGATGCATCCGGCCTACTCATGAGGGAAACCTACCTTTGTAATCAAACATATGGCTCCAATGCCATGTCTAAACCGAGCATAAAGATGAGCCTCTTCATCCCCGGCTGAATACTTATGACAGGACTGAGCCATCCAACAGCTATTGATAGTGATTCCAGCCATGCAAGCTGCAAAGGAGATGCAGCTGCTAATGCCTCAAGCTGGTTTTTGTTGAACTCTTGGCTTCAGATGACTCCCTGCTGGATGCATCCGAAGTCTAACTCTATGCCCTGAAAGGACTGACCAGTCTGTCCTGTGGGCAAAATGTCTTCCCCCATCCCAATGTGGGAATCAGCCACTGCTTGGAAACCTCTGATCTGCAGAAACAAGTTACAAACTCTCCCCAGGTTATTAGATCTTGAATTGGAAAGGTACTTTGCCATATGCTATTGGAATATAAATTTCTCTTAGGACTACAATATGGGTCTCAGATTTTGATCTCGATGTCATGTGCTGTTAATGACCTTCCTACACACAGCATACAACCAAAGTCACATATGTTGGTTTTTGGCAGATTTAATAGAAATGTGTGGGGCGGAAGGCATATACTCAATGGACCTGATTCCATCTTGTTGGAGCAGAGAGGGGAGAACTGTACCTAACTGTGCCTGCCTGGCTTGTGGCTCCTTAGATGATTCACCAGAGGGAGTGCAGACGATGGGCTTTGGATTGAGAGCATAGTTTTCATCTCTAACTGTGTCCCCACAAAAGGTTGCCTCAGCACATCCTTGGGCACTCTAGCTACAACATCCCAGCCAGTACCACCCGCTTTGAAGATGGGCTGCCCAGCTCTAGGCCCTTCAGCAATGCGGCGGTTGCTGGCACACTGCACTGCTTCAGTGCCCTCTCTGAGAAACTTTCCATCTGTGCTTGGGACATGATAACCCGGGAATGAAAAAGACTCATTCATTTCTAGAAGAGAACTGATTTACACAAGCTCTACCACCCTTCCGATAAGGAGCTCTCAGAGTTGATTTAGAATGTCAAGTGATTAGGGAAACTTACTACCAGCGACCCGGAGCTCTTTGTACTCAGTGCAGAAAGGGCTGAGACCACAGAACGTATCAACATAAGGGTGTTAGACTTCAGCAGAGCAAACTCTAGGGAATTAAAAACATCTAGGTCTCGATGCTCCCCTCCCCAAGGCAGAGTGGAGAACAGAAGGGTTTCACTGTTGAGAACAGGGCGTGGGTGGCCTTAGGGGAGGGCTATATGACTACATGGTATAATTCTGCCCCCATAACATAGTCACCTCTAGACCATGCATGGCATTTATATTGAAGATCCACTGTATAGCATAATATGGGATGAAATCGACTGGAGAAGGAGGGGGCCAACCACTCTTCAAGGCACATCCCCCAGGGGACTCCTTGAAACTTATGGTGCAGTGGCAGGAGCAATTCCTCCTCTGCAGCTTTAACAGACTCCAGAGGGAGTCTGCATGCACAGACAGCAGGCTGTAGGGGCCCTCACTGATGGAACAACAATGCCCCCAGCCCTGCTGCCAGTGCTGGTGGGAAAAGCCAGAAGGGAAAGGGAGGCAGAGTCCTAGCAGTGGATAGCATGAGATCAGAGTGGCTGGCCGCTGCAGTTTAAATGCCTTGACTGTGCCATCTCTGAGGCTATGGAGAGGTCTCCCCAGGGAAGAATGGAAAGTTCCATTGCTTGGGAAATGTAAAGCTAAACTAGAAAAACAAACTGAAATAGACTTCAGGGCCAGACTGTGGCTGCTCTGAGTAGGTGGACAAAGGGACAGGGGAAGCACTAAGAGCATCTAACGCCCCCCCACACACACACCTTGTGCCTCACAGGCCGGCTCTGGTCACACTCGCAACTTCTAGGCTCCACTCAGTACAGGGACTGCTTACTGCTAGCGCCCTGCCTGGGGTGGTAATCACCTCAAAGGGAGCAGGAAGAAGACAGTGTCCTGGGCCCCCACCCTCCACACTTGTCAGCAGGCTTGTTTGACCATACAGGGAAACATGTGTTGCAGCCTCTTATGAGATATAGCAGAGGGCATGCTCTCTGCCCTGAACCATGCTTCCCAGGGAGCCTGCTGGGTGAGGAGGCTCTGCGTGACCTCCAGTACTGGGGTTGTAGGGCTATAATGGGACAGTGCTTTACTGGAAGTGAGCTGGGCTAGTATATAAAAAGCACCAGTGGAGCCAAATTCATCCCTTGGGTGCACATCAATAGCTGTCATTGATATTAGTGGATGCCAATGTACCCATGTGAGGGCAAAATTTTGGCACAGATATTCATTCTAGATCCTAGAACCCCCAGCTGAGGTTGGGGTCCCATTGGGCTAGGCACAGTACAAACACTCAGCATGAGGCAATGCTTGCCCCAAAGATCTTGCGCTCTACATAGACAGGACCGACAAAGCCGTGGGAAGGAAAAACAGAATCACAAAGAGGGGAAGTGACTTGCCCTAGAACAGTGGTTCTCAACCTGTGGGCCACTTGCAGCCCAATCAGCACAAAGCTACAGCCCATCCTCAGGGCCATACAGGTAGTTAGATGCCACCCACATCACACATTGTGGGCCACAATGGTAAATAGTTGGGAATCACTGCGCTAGAATCACCCAGCAGGTCAGTCACACAACTGGGAATAGAACCACGATCCCCTGAATCCTACCCATGTGGCTGAGCCACTAGACTGTGCTACTTCTTGAGTAAAATTACTGCCTCTCTTTTCTAAAATATAAAGGACTTGAGAGAAATCCTGAGCAATCTTAATATTTTAAGTTCCTAGTATCAATTTGTTTAAGAAACCAGCTAATAGATTTTCCAATTGTCATTTAATGTTACTAATAAGCTGATTCTCTGATTTAAGTCTTTAATATACACTTTCTGACAGCTAACTAGTGCTAGGACATCTTACTATTATTTACGTAGCTAGTGAGTTCAGTAGCTTTCTTCTGTAAAAGGTCCACTTGATCATAAGTGAAGGAAAGATCCAGCTGTTACCCAGTAATTGAGGATACTTCTATTTTGAGAACAGTACAAAGTACCTCGTGGCTATATCACATTAATGATCTAAATAGTTTTGATCAGCTTTCCTTCTTTTAATGGAAAGGCATTTCTCTACCTAGGTTATACTTTGTAACAAAGTGCGCCAATTATAAACGTTATTATGTAATCATGGCATCATTTTATGATCGTTTTAAAGATGTGCATAGTACTTCTTTCTTTTAGAAGAGCAAGCTATATAATTAAGACTGAGTCTACCTATTTTTCCATACCTTAATCTTTTTAATATATACTTCAGGAATCAAGCAATGGATGACACGTCATAGCTCTACTAAAATTAGCTAGTACGCTACAAGGGAGCAAGAATCTGAGTAAGGTTTTTGACTGCAGAGTTGCCCTTTCCTGGATATTATTTTATAAAGTCTGGACTGTGCACACAGTTCAGTTTTCTGATATGAACATTAGAGTAGAGCTAGAAGAAATTTTCTGAATTTTGATTTTTCAGTGAAAAATATTGTTTGCATTTTGTCCCAAAAAAGCAGGGTACATTTTTCGCATAAAGTTTTGACAAAAAAAAAAAAAAAATACCCATTTTTCCCCATCAGCTATAAAAACTTGTTCCAAATTTAATCAAAATTTCAAATTTTGACCAAAAAAAGGACAAATTTTCCAGGTACATGGTCACAAAGCTTCCTCTTTTTTGTCCAGCTCTACCCTTTAGTGGATCCTCTAGTCCCATTTCCCAGTATCATCATTAGGTCTGATTTCAATGTTCCTAAACAGTCCCTTATATTTGGCTGTCTGTCTCGTCTCCACTTTGAACATATCCAGTGAGATTTTTCAATAATCACCTTTAGTTCCTTGATTTGGTGCTGACCTGGTTAGGATCTCAAAGATGGTAAGAAATGGCCTCATGCAATTATACAAAATGTATAATTTAATTCACACAATTGTTCGGTTCCTCACTATCATAATTCTTGGGTATATTTTCAGCTGATGCCTGGCTTCCCTGTTTTGCACCTTCAAAACGAATTTTAGGCACAAGTCTGCATTTAGGTACCTTATGCAATCAAGTAGCCAGAAGCCTAAGTAATCAGATTTGCATGAACAAATCGATAGGTGTCAAAATGTACATCCAAATTGTATAGGTGCAACTTGTGTCTACAAAAGGGAAGCCAAATGATTTTGGCTTGTGACATTAATTTATTACATGATACCCTCCACCTCCATTTAAGGTAAGTTGTCCCCTTACATTTGATTGTGTTTCTTTCCCTACTGGTTGCTCTCTGAGAGACAATGGTGTGTGGTCTAAAGATGTCACAATTTGCTTCTCATCCATTTCCTTTTCTGGGGAGATGTCATTTTCTTCTGTCCACTTGCTGTACTGCTTCTCAACTGGCATCTCAAGAAGCTGGGGTAAGGGATCTTCTTCAATGGAGATTATTCTCTGCAGTTGTTTTGTTTGAGTCATGCCCCCATTAGTACCATGGTCAGATTCTGAAGAAAGATATCCATTCAAACCAATAGAATTCCTCCTCCTTGTTAAGTTATTGAAAACATCATCTTCTTCGGAGGATTGGCTAGATAAAGATCAGATATAAGTAGGTTACAAAACAACATTAGGCCTAATTCTTATCTCATTTACATTGGTGTAATTCCATCCAGTGGAGTTACTCCTGACTTAAATTAAATGTAACAGGATGCACAATCAGGTTCATTACACTCTCTCTTATATAGAGAAGAGTTAGACTGTACAATCAATTGACTTTTGAAAAGTAAGTCAAACATCTATTATATGAGTGTTTGTATAAAATCAGTATAATACATATGTAACCCATACAGAAGGTAATATAACAAATATTAATATTTTAACTGAAAATTCAGAGATGAACAACAGTGGATTTAGGCTCATCCTAAAATGGTGAGATTAGAATGAACAAAACTTTCCATCTGCAACTTAATTCTGGCTTGAGCAGTACAGGCCAGATCCTCAACTGGTATAAATCAGCATTGAAAGCTATGGAGCTATGCCCGTTTATACTAGCTGCATGCCCGTATTCTTTCAGACTCTTGCTGTGGTCCCTATCCCCAAGGTGACATGTTACTGCTCTTCCCAGGTTCTTTGTTTGCCCAAAAGATGCTTGTTAATATGACATGGAGGCCTTAATCTTGTTTCCATTTATTTCATATTTATGATCACATAATTCAGATTTAAATTCTCCATGGTTTTATGTCTTCTATCTATCCCATGTTCTTATGCATCCCAAGTAGTCGACTACTATCTGCAGTAAGGGATGCTGTGGAGGTGCACTCCTCCAGCAGAAGTTCCTGAAGATATCATGCCACATTAATGCTGATCCAAGTAACACCAGGTACTGGACTGGCTTCGGCTTTCCCACAATCTACCTATGCCCAAACAGCATGGTCAGTGTATTAGCTGTAGCTGAAGATCTGACCCTAGATTTCTAATTTTTTAAAAGAGCTCGGTAACTGGGTTGTCTAGGCAGCCTGTCGGGGATGATTCCGCTACTGCAGGTCCCTGATGATTGTGTCACCCCTCGCAGATCTGGTGCCATGGTGCCTTAACCACTCCAGCTAAGGCACACTGGAGTCCTACCACTTCCAGTATTTTAGACGACAAAACAAAAAGTGACAAAAAACAGTGAACTAAAAATCAGGTGCATCTGAAGATTTGTTGGCAGGACGCTACCGTTCTGCTCCAGGCTTGTCTTTGCATGTCCTTAGTCCCTTCATGTCCATCTTCCTGGGCCTAGTCATCCCATCCCCCAAATGGTTTATCCACTTAGCAAGCTGCCTTATGCTCTTGACTACAGCCAGACTTGCCTTGTTGAGAGAAGTAGCAGAGCTCTGCTCTCCTTCCTGGTCAGCCCTCAACTGGACTAGATGTCCTCCTTTTAACTCCCCTCTCCACACCTGACATTGGCCAGAGGCATAGGAGGGTGAGGTCAGCTGGATCACAGGCTCTCCTTAATCCTTTTGTAGCCAGTGTGGAGTCTATCTGCCTCATTAAGCTGCTTGTTGCCAGTGTGGGGCCTATCTGCCCCCATCACAGATACTCAGACGACATACTAATCTGCACCTTAGAGATCGATGCAATATCAATATTACACTTACAATTCCAAGCTGTAGTGGTTTCACGAACAATCATGGTGAAATAAGCATTCTACATCTTTTGTGCACTTTCCCTGTAACTGTCAAACATATGCCAAATAGCAAAATTAAGTCCTTACCTCTTAAGTGATGCCTTTCCCTCTACATATTTGCCAATGATAGATCCTGATCTTTTTTTCCAGTTGGCTTTTGGAGCATTTGTTTTACTTTTCTGCAGAAATATATTATTTATTTTATTAATTACTCTTGCTATTCATTATGGTTAATAAAACAGTCTATTTGTTGCTAGTGTTTAGATAATACAGTGATGGGAGCGACAGAAAGTAATTGACGGATTAGCAGAGGCAAATGGTTCAAAATCTTGAGTGATAAATAAAAACATGGAAAATCCTGATTCTACAACAATTAATCTTCCTTATAGACCCAGTGGCCCAGACCATAAGCCAGTGTAAATCAGCCGAGATCCACTGAAATAAATGAAACCAACAGAGCTATGCGGATTTATACCAGCTGACAATCTGACCCAGTGTCACTCCTTCTTGGAGAGAAAGGAAACACAGACCACCTCTGCAAATGATTAGACATCATAATTCTGAATTATCTTTAGTAAAGAAAAGGAAGCCATGATCTCTCAGGTCCTGGGGACCTAGTCTCCTGCTGCAGGATACAAAGTCAATGGGATTGACTTGTATCCATTGGCAGGAGGATAGGACTCTTTGTTCAGTACTCGGATACTGCACTGATGTATACATGTTTAAAGAGATTACTGTTGATTGGATAGATAAACACTTGAATTTTAATTGTTCCATTTGAAGATTCTCTCATTCCCTCTTGATTGTCTCCTTAGGTTCATTAGTATTCATTCCCTTCCCCTAAAATAGCTGGAGTTTTAGTAACCTAAATATTTGGCTTCCAGTTTTATTTAATAAATACCTTTTGTTGCCATAAATCTTGCTTTTAACTGGGAAGGTGGCGAATGCGGGAGGGAAGAGGAATGACACAAGAATCTCTTCCCTCCTACAACATTCTGGTCCCCATATTTTAGACCATTCTGATCTCTGTTTGATAACTTCTGAGTTATAAAATGGTATTTGTGTACCTGTAAAAACATGTCTCGTTCATCTCTGAGAAGTTTGTTCCTTTCTCTGTAAGGAAAGGAAACAAGTAAAAGAACCAGCAAACTATGGTAGAAATTTAGTATCAAACCCAGATACTGGGTTTTTACTTTAATGTTTTTAATATACTTTTACATTGATATTTTTCCAAAGAATCATAGAAATGATAAGTCAACTAGTCTGGTCCCCTGCACTCAGGCAGGACTAAGTATTATCTGGACCATCCCTGTTTGTCTAACCTGTTCTTAAAAACCTCTAATGCTGGAGATTTCACAGCCTCCCGTCTCCTGAATTCTTTTTTCCCTTAGACTTGCTTCCCACTAGATCTTACCTACCAATTCTCTGCATCTGATCAAATCTGCCTTCTTGAAGTGCATTGTCTTCATTCTGCTGTTTTCCAACTTTGACTTTAACTCATCTATATTATCACAGGGCCAGATCCCCAGCTGGTGTAATTCAGTGGGGACTACACTAATTTAGACCATCTGGTTCTCAATCTAAAAATGTCAAAGCAAAAGCTTCTAACGTGGAAAAAAACCATGAACAATATTTCTTCATTTATTCTGAATCAAGGGGTTTCAAACTTTTCCATAGATCTTAATAGAGAGCTTGTTTGGTGCACGCCCTCCCAACCACAGCTGCATAGACCTGTCACGACCAGGTAACATCCCTGTGACAACTACCGTGATTGCTGATGTAGAAGAGAAGCTTTAAGAAAATAACAAATGTGTTCAGCTTCTCTTAATGCGATTTAGCTGCTGGAAATAACGGAGAAGAGGTGTTCCATGTGACAAGCCAGCTCTCTGCAGATCTAAGCCACACCCACTCCGGATGGTACTCTGTCACTTTCTCATGGCGGCTGGGTCACACAAAGAGGTTAATGGGTCTACTATTGCCTTGGCACAAAGAAAGACCAAGGTCAGCTAGCCAAAGTTCTAGCAGGCTCATCAACCTCTATCTGTGACCCAGTCACCAATGGAGGGGGACAAAGTGCTGTACATTGGCAAATGCACTGCAAACCAACAGCGGGTCTCAGACTACAATTTGGGAGCCTCTGATGTAATTGTACATGAGTCCATCTGAAATATTTTTAAATGCACATTGGATGAAAGACTATTGCTCAAATGCACATATAATTAGCTCATATAAATTGAATAATCTAGTAACAAAAATCAAGTGATAATATTTATATTAGATACTATTTCACATTACAAAGGACATTAAACAGTGCCCAGAACTAGCTTCCAATGCTGGCATTATACTAATATAAAAATGTTAGGCAGAAAATCAGCCATATCTATTATATATATATATATTTAAACTAACAGTCTCTATTCTGAATGAACTACACTTGGTGCAGCAATGAAAGGCAAAAGGAGCTTTAAGCTGCCTTTGAATCTCCTGTATCCAAGGTCTGGCCCACTACAAAGTCAGGGCAGCCTCACAACTGTTTTGATCTGCACTTGGCTGAAACAGCCTCCTAGATATTATTCCACAGCACAGAATAGCCACAGTGCAGCATGCCCTGACAAAACCCGTCTTTCCTTGGCAGGCCCCCTCTGGTGGGGGGCAGGGAGCTCTGACAGGACAGATGCTGTAAGGATATTCCACTCTCTCTAGGCCACTGAGGAATTTCTATATACTGGGATTCATTCCAAAATGGGATTTCTGCTAAGTTTGGGGTCATAGTTTACGAGCTTTAAAATAAACACATAGTTTTATAATGATAATGCAAGAAATCCTGCAAATGATTGTGTGTGTTACCTTAAGAAATCCAGCTGCTTAAGGAGTCCCGACTTCTCTCGCTCTAAAGTTTCTGTCACCCTGTATACCTCCCTACAACAGAGGGAAACAAAGAAAGACATTTTAACATAGTAGTTATAGGCTGCTTCCTACAACCCTTAGAAAATGCCACTTTAGGCTCAGTTTTGCAGTCCTTACTCTGGCTAACCCGTCAATAACATCAACGGAGCTCAGCCACCTAAGGACTGCATGATCAGGTTAGTCTCACTTTTTTTTGGTTAGGTTGGATTCTACCAGTAGTAACTAACAACCAAGGAGTTAGAAGATTGACCTTTTTAGGATTTTCATCCAGTCAATTTACTACACCGTGATACTGGGGCTGGTGTCTTTCAGATAAGACTTAAAATTAAGGCCCTAATAACTTGTGATCATTAAAGATCCCATGAAACTTTTCACAAGGCTAGAGGGGTTAACTTTCCTATGCTGGCCAAGTTTCAATACAGGTAATGACATTTGGCTAACCCAGTTTTCCCTTATTGGATATATTATTCCTCTCCATTTCCTGACCTAAACTGTTGTGCAGCATTAAACACATGGAGTCAGATCCTCAGATGATGCAAATCAGTATAACCCCACTGATTTCAATGGGGCTGCATGGATTTACACCAGTTGAGGGTTTGGTCCATGTTGTTTTCTGCCTTTTAATGGTGTGTGAAGTGCTACCTGTGTGTGGTCTGAACAGCAGATCAGCTTTTAACAGCTCAGTTGTGCCTTATAGTCTCTGGCCTGCCCTGGGGGCAGTGCTGAGCCACACCATTGCAGGGAAAGCTGGGCATGATCCACCGCTAATTCCATAAAGTATTTTGGAATAAAAAGTGCTTTACAAACTTAAAATCATCATCATCGTTCAGTAGTTTGACCACAAGAATGGAGAGCAGCTGAGATACCACTCGCCGATTTCCTGCTGGTTTCCTCACTTCCTTTGGAATCAGTCTGCAACTGATTGCAACACTGCCTTTGTTCTATAGCTCATAAGTGAGGCCCTTCAAAGAGGAAATGGTCTTGCGGGGGGGGGGGAGGGAAAGGGGAGAAATACTGCCATTGTTCACTTCAAAACTATAAATGAATCATACAAAAATGAGGCAGCATGCGAAACTCAGAGCTAGACCCTCAGCCGACAAAAATCAGCTGAGGATTTGGCCCTTGTGTTTGAAATGGGCTTGGCTCTGGGTGGCTATAGTCAAAGGAATAGCTCAGTGGTTTGAGCATTGGCCTGCTAAACTCAGGGTTGTGAGTTCAATCCTTGAGGGGGGCCACTTGGGGATCTGGGGCAAAAAGCAGTACTTGGTCCTGCTAGTGAAGGCAGGGGGCTGGATTTGATGACCTTTCAAGGTCCCCTCCAGTTCTAGGGGATGGGATATCTCTATTAAGTATTATTATTAAAGAATACTCCTCATATGTTCAAAATAGATTAAATTAGCAATAGCTAAGTAGAGTTTGGACCAATGGCCTTCTGAAGAGAGGAAACACTATTTAGTCCAAGATGATGCCCCACCCTGAGAGGTGCTGAGTTCCCAGCACTGAGTTACATTATCTGCAGCTGAAATGATTGGATTTCGGGGAGAAATAGTCATGAAACTTTTGCTAATTCTGAATCCAATTTAGCTTAGCAATGTGCACACTTTCTCTGATTGTTTTTCATGAATATTAGTGGGAGGTAAGACTCATTAGGAATAAATGCTCATGGAAAGAGAATTTGAGGCCTGTAGCTGGCCTTCATTTAGCGTCCAGATTTTCAAGTGCTCAGGATCTGCAGTTGGGACCAGACTTTCAAAAAAGTACTCAGCACCTAGCTGCGCCTACTGTGACACTTAGGGTGTTTTTTAGGTACCCATATGGGAGCTAAACTCTTGAAAATCTGGCCCTAGTGGTAAAAATCTGAACCCTTCTAAAATTTCCAGCATTAAGGTATAATTACTCCACTGCCAGGGCCGGCTCCAGGCACCAGCCCACCAAGCTTGTGCTTGGGGCGGCACCTGGAGGGGGGCGGTGCGGCGCGGTGCTCCGGCTCCGGCCGCCGGGGAGAGCGGAGCCCCGGCCAGGCTCGCTGCCCTCCCCCCGGCGCTCCGGCTGGTCGGGGAGAATGGCCCAAGGCAAAAAAGCCAGAGCCGGCCCTGTCCACTGCAGAGGGACAACACAAGACTTGTGTTTCACTTCCCTCCAATTTCCATCCCCTAAATATTAGAGCTGGCTGGAAAATGTTTTTCCCTGCAGAAAATTTTGAGTTTTATCAGCTGAAAACAGAAATTCTGAAATGCTGCCACAATATCTCCAGGGAACTGCAGTTCGAGTGGCTCATGCTTTCATTTTCCTCTATAGGCTGAGCTCGCTGGTTGGACTACATTTTGCATGTTCCACCATGGTCTCCTCTCTTGATTAGGGAAGATGGTGCATCATGGCAGTCCCATGGCCATGATGAATCATGGGAAATGTAGTATGACCAAAAAATCCACCCAATAGAGGAGAATGGTCTCCAAGGCAGCCAAACTACAATTCCCATGGGGAACCAAAAGGCATTTCTCAATCAAATTTCAGCAGAAATATTTTGGTTTTCAGCCAAAAAAATACTTTTTGGCTTTCAGGTCTTCCGATTTGTTTTAATGAAAACTTGAAATTTTCTTCAGAAAGCAGGCACTTTTCACGACAATTCTGCTGAATTGAAAAAGCCAATTTTCTGTTGAAAAATAGTTTCAGTGGAAATTTTTTCACCAGCTCTAATAAATATTCCTTTAAATGGACTTAAGTGTTGCACAGGCCTTGTTCTGCTCCTCTGGAGTCAAGAAAATCAAGAAACAAATGACAGTTTTGCCCACCTCTTCTGAGCAGCTGGCACAGCTCAGGATCTGGTTCCCTATGTTGTGGTGTGCAATATTATTAATGTTGTCTATTTTAGTACACAGCACGAAGAATTTGCTTCCTTAAAGCAAAATAATAATATTTAAATAAACATGGTACAAAAAGTGGAAATGATTCTCTACCACCTTGAACCGTCCATAGTCACTATATGTAGCTAGAGAAAAGAGTGCGTTCAAAACAAGTGTAAAACTTTTGTGTTTTGGTAGTGCTTTTACAATTCTCAATAACTGCTGGAGGTCTGGCATTCAAAGCATACTCATAAAAGCTCAACTGAATTGATCTGGGCATCTCATACATATGGTCAACTTGAGACTATCCAAGGCCATATTGTATGGTTAGCTAAAGTCAAGCTCATTTTTATGATGGCTAATACAAACGATATAAAAACACACTGAAGTCAAACTTGACAGCATGTCAGGCTGACCCCCAGCAACTGGGAAGCAACAGCCCACAACAGTGCAAGGTGGCAGCAGAGTTGTCATTAACCACTTTGAAGCAAGGTACATTAACACCTTATGTGAAAAATGTAAACAGGGTAAAGCAGGGATACAACAGCCTGCTATGGCTATGGACAATCTTGTTTGTAACCAAGTTTGTAGTTCTTGCATTGGTCTGACCTCACATATTACTCCATCAGCATTGCATGCATTTTGAACAGGTGTTAAAGTGCCTCCACAAGGTGCTGTGCATGTGGAGAATCAGGCTTGCTGTCGCTTCAAGCAAGCATACTGGGGCCACAGGCAGCTGTCACTTACATTTCTTTTTCTTCATGTAGTTTTGAAGCCTCTTCCTGGAGCGTCTGTAATTGTTGCTGGGCGACTATTAACTCCTGAGACGTTCGCTCCAGTTCCTGCAGCAGCTCTTGGTTTGTTAGCTTCAGCTTGGTGTTCTCCACTTTGGTCTCCTGTTTGTCATTGTGGAGTTCCTTACACTGACCCTCCAGCTAGAGGTGGTGGGAGGGGAAGAAAAGGAAAAGAGAAAATGCCGCTGACTCACTGAGCTATTTTAGCTTGGCATTAAGAAGGCTTTTAAATTTTAAAACCTAAATGAACCCATTTAAAATTATACTCGTTCTCCAAAGTGGAGGCAAGGAAAGAATGCACAGAATTTGATAAGAAGGTAACAGTAGCTGCTAGTGTGTATAGAAGAGTAGCACAATGGTTCAACCTGCTACTGCCTGGATGAAACAGCAATGGTAAAGTAGGTTCAGAGAGCCAGGGTAGCAACTTTGTTTGGTCCATGGTTTTTTGAATGCAGCATGTATTTATTTGATGTTAGGAGATGGGGCCTGTTACGTAATACATGTAATATCTACTTAGCAGTATTGAGGGCTAGATTGTCAGCTATGCTCAGTAAGCTCTGGCTGCAGCTGATAGGGGTTGGGGAGGGTTTGAAGAGGGTGATTGTGGGACTAGTTCTATGCTGACCTGAGCCCTGCCTTAGTTTTTAGAACCACCTCAGAGGTGCTCTAAACCTGTTACTGCTTTTCCTCACCCCCTACACTAGGGCTTGAGGGGTTAGAATTACAGCTGACTACACCAGCTCTTCACCACTGGGGACTCCCTCACACCAAGAGAATTCCCATCTGGGTTGATCTGGTCAGTTTATGGCCCCTTTGTGCTGTGTGCTGGTTCAGTGGTGCAAAAGGCCCCTAGTGTGGGAGAGCATCTAACTGTGGCAGCAGGGGAGGAGAAAGATGTGTGGGGAAAGGGACTATGAACTAAAATCATAGACAGCAAATGCCATCCAGAAATACATAAATGCTCTTCTTGTGTTTTGTGTTGTTAGCAAACAAGTTTTTTAAAGGATGTCAAGTGCATTGCAAGCTTTAAAGTGACACAAGATCAATCTTTGAGACAGACACAGAGAACGAAAGGATTGGAACACAAACTCTGTATGTCTCTGAATTTTTGTGCTCTTGGAAGGCAGAGACCGACAGCTCCTGGGACAGAGTGGGCAGCTTTACCTACACAGCTCTGCCAGTTAGAGCTAAATGAATAATTGATTTTTCAGTTCAGTGGCTAAACCAAAAAAATCCAGAAACATTTGTTTCTATAGAGTGAAACAATTTGACTTTCTAGATGTTTTTTTCCTGGCTGAAATCATCTGCTGAATTTGACTCAAATTTAAGAATAGTTTTAGTTGACCTAAGACTATTTGTCCAGAAAATTTTGCCCAGTTCCTCTACCAACTTGTACCTCAGCCTCGAACACTTCTATTGTTCCAATCATGGGTCCCTGTTGAGTGTAAACAACTAGGCAAGGGTTTCTTCAGATGGATCACAAACAATTCACCAGGAGTATCTATTCCCTGACCATTGAAAGTTGAGCTACATTGTTTAGTTTTGACCACACAAGTTACAAGGCATTGTTTTCTTTCCCTGGGTGAATGAGGGAAACTTTTATAACTAAGCGAAGGCTTGAAGCTTTTGATACATTGGTACAGTAAATATTGACATATTTTATAAATGCTTGTATACCTATGCTAAAAGTCTAAATACTAAGATGGGTGAACTTGAGTGCCTGGTGTTAAATGAGGATTTTGATATAATAGGCATTTCAGAAACTTGGTGGAATGCTGATAATCAGTGGGACATGGTAATACCAGGGTACACAATATATAAGAATGACAGAGTAGGTTGCACTGGTGGGGGAGTGGCACTATATGTGACAGAAATAATATAGTCAAATATAGTAAAAATCTTAAATGAACCAAACTGTACCATAGAATCTCTATGGATAGAAGTTCCATGCTTAGATAAAAAGAGTATAGCAGTAGGAATAAACTACTGACCACCTGACCAGGATGGTGATTGTGAAATGCTCAGGGAGATTAGAGCGGCTACTAAAACAGAAAACCCAGTAATAATGGGGGATTTCAACTATCCACAGATTGACTGGGTACATGTTATCTCAGGACAGGATGCAGAGATAAATTTCTAGATGACTGCTTCTTGGAGCAGCTAACTTGGAACTCCCAAGGGGAGAGGCAAGTCTTGATTTAGTCCTAAATGGCGCAAAGGATCTGGTCCAAAAGGTGAATATTGCTAAACTGCTTAGTAATAGCAGCTATAATATCATTACATTTAACTAAATGAATTCTTTGCATTGGTCTTCACCCAGAATATGTGAAGGAGATTCTCACACCATTTTTTTAGGTGACAAATCTGAGGAACTGTCCCAGATTGAGGTGTTAATAGAAATAGTTTTGGAATAAATTGGCAAATTAAACAGTACTAAGTCACTAGGACCAGATGGTATTCACCCAAGAGTTCTGAAGGAACTCAAATATGAAACTGCAGAACTACTAATTGTAGTATGTAACGTATCACTTAAATTAGCCTGCGCACCAGATGACTGGCAATTACAGGCCGGTAAGACTAACTTCAGTACCAGTTGAATCTATAGTAAAGAACAGAATTATCCGACACATATATGAACATGATATGTTGGGGGAAGAGCCAGCACAGCTTCTGTAAGGGAAAATATGCCTCACCAATCTATTAGAATTCTCAGAAAGGTCAACAAGTATGTGGACAAGAGTGATCCGGTTGATGCAGTGTACTTAGACTTTCAGAAAGCCTTGGACAAGGTCCCTCACCAAAGGCTCTTAAGCAAAGTAAGCAGTCATGGATAAGAGGGAAGGTCCTCTCATGGATCAGTAATTGGTTAAAAGATAGGGAACAAAGGGTAGGGATAAATGACAGTTTAAAAATGGAAAAAGATAAATAGACTCTTTACTGGGACTAGTGCTGTTCAACATATTCATAAAGGATCTGAAAAGGGGGGTAAATAGTGAGGTGGCAATGTTTGCAGACAATGCTAAATTATTCAAAATAGCTAAGTCTAAAGCTGACTCTGAAGAGTTACAAGGGGATTTCACTAAACTGCGTGGGCAACAAAATGGCAGATGATATTCAATGTTAATAAGTGCAAAATAATGCACATTGGAAAAAAATAATCCCAAATATTATTACGTATCAAACAATGAGTTCTAAATTAGTTGTTACCACTCAGGAAAGAGATCTTAGAGTCATTCTGGATAGTTCTCTGAAAACATCTGCTGATTATGCAGCACCAGTGAGAAATAGCTAATAGAATGTTAGGAACCATGAGTAAAGAAGTATATAATAAAACAGAAAATATCATAATGGCACTACATAAATCCAAGGTATGCCCACACTTTGAATACTGCTTGCAGTTCTTGTCACCCCACCTCAAAAAGGGTATTAGAATTGGAAAAGGCAACAAAAATTATTAGGGGTATGGAACGGCTTCCATATGAGGAGAGATTAAAAAGACTTGGACTATTGAGTTTAGAAAAGAGATGACTAAGGGGGTTATGACAGAGGTTTATAAAATAATGACTGGTGTGGAGAAAGTGAATAGAGAAGTGTTATTTACCCCTTCATATAACACAAGAACCAAGGGTCACCTAATGAATCATAGAAATCTAGGACAGGACTAAGTATTATCTAGACCAGGGGTGGGCAAACTATGGCCCGTGGACCGGATCCAGCCTATCAGGGCTTTGGATTTGGCCTGTGGGATTGGTCTGCACGCTGCCCTCGCCTGCAGGCACCGCCCCCCGCAGCTCCCATTGGCCGGGAATGGGGAAACAAAGCCAATGGGAGCTTTGGGGGAGGTACCCACAGGCGAGGACAGTGCGTGGAGCCCTTTGCTCCCCCTCCCCCAGGGGCCACAGGGACATGGTGCCGGCCACTTCCGGGAGCGACGCAGGGCCAGAGCAGGCAGGCAGGCAGGGAGCCTGCCCTGGCCCCAGTGCACGCCGCTGCCACCCCAGAGCCGCTCCAGGTAAGCGGTGCTGGGCCAGAGCCCAGAGCCCACAGCCCGAACACCTCCTGCACCCCGCACCCCAACTCCCTGCCCTGAGCCCCCTGCCGCAACCCTCCTGCACCCTAACCCCCTGCCCTGAGCCCCCTCCCGCACTCCTCCCTGCACCCCTGCCCTGAGCCCCCTCCCACAGTCCGCACCCCCCTCCTGCACCCCAACCCCTTTCCCTGAGCCCCCTCATACACCCTGCACCCCCTCCCACACCCCACACTCCCTCCCGCACCCCAACCCCCTGCCCCAGCACCACATTCATGGCCCTGCATGCATTTTCCCCACCCAGATGTGGCTCTCGGACCAAAACGTTTGCCCACCCCTGATCTAGATCATCCCTGACAGGTGTTTGTCTAACTTCTTATTAAAAACCTTCAGTGATGGAGATTCCACATCCTCCCTAGGTAATTTGTTCAATAGCTTAACTACCCTGACAGTTAGAAAGTGTTTCCTAATATCTAACTTAAATCTCCCTTCCTACAGTTTATGCCCATTACTTCTTGTCTTGCCCTCAATCGTTAAGGAGAACAATTTATCACCCTCCTCTTTATAACAAACTTTTACATACTTGAAGACAGTTATTATGTCCCACCTCCATCTTCTCTGGTCCAAACTAAACAGACCCATTTTTTTTTCAATCTTTCCTGGCAGGTCATGTGTTCTAGACCTTTAATCACTTGTGTTGCTCTCCTCTGTACTTTCTCCAATTTGTCCATCTTTTCCGAAGTGTGGTGCCCAGAAGTGGACACAGTACTCCAGTTAACGCCTTATCAATGCTGAGTAGAGCAAAAGAATTACTTCTTGTGTCTTGCTTACAACACTCCCAATTATACATCCCAGAACAATGTTCACTTTTTTTTTGCAACAGTATTACATTGAAGATCCATATTTAGTTTGTGATCCACTATAACTCCCAGATCCCTTTCTGCAGTACTCTTTCCTAAACAGTCATTTCCCATTTTGTATTTATGCAATTGATTATTGCTTCCTAAGTGTAGTAGTTTGCATTTGTCTTATTGAATTGCATCCTATTTAATTCACACTATGTCTCCAGTTTGTCAAGATCATTCGGAATTCTAATTCTGTCTTCCAATGTGCT